TGCGCGGCCCAGCTACAAAGCTGTCGGACGCCTCCTTCGCAAACCGTCGACCGACGGCTACATTTCATGAAAAAAGTGTGTATGTGTGTGTGAAACCTCCTCGGAGGCATGGCGTCACTGCCAATTGATGTATAGACAACTTTCCGCAGGGGAGTGCGGCGTGACTGAGCGACCGCACTCAACGAAGCTACCTCAGTTACGGGATGCCGGATCCGATCAATCATAGCCCGGATCTCTTACTAGCCGATTCAGTCCATTGTCGTGTGTGTTTCTCTGTGTCTCTCTGTGTCTCTCTGTGTGTTTTCTGTGTGTCTCTGTGTCTGTGTCTGTCTGTCTGTCTGTGCGTCTGTGTGCGTATCTCCCTATGTTGCGTTAGGGGATGTAGGCGAACCCACCGTTTGAGGATCCCTCATGTCACGTTTTTGGATTGTTATACAATTTGCAGAGGCAGTGCGGGCAGGAAAACACGTACTTCCCAGGGATAGCAGGGTTGATCCGCAAGGGTTTCTTCAATTGTTGACCAACTAACCTGGAAGCTGGTGTTTGAACAAGTTGCGTTTGTTTCAGTCACCGATGTTCGCTCATACCAGCCTCTTACGGAACAGCGTTTCATGGCCTACAGGCCCGCTTGAGAGGGATTGCGCTACTGATACGACAGTATGTAGCGAACGGTCACTTGCGCTTTCGTTTTGTACTTCGGGTTTAATTTGATATCAGACTGCCCAACTGGGGTCTCTTCGGGGATTATTTGTATGTACAGGTTGGCAAAGGATGAAAGGAACCTGGACAAAGGATATTTGGTGCACCCTGTTTGGGCCGAGACAAGCCCACTCGAACCACACAGGCACTTATGTTTGGGTGACAAACGCGTTCTAGCAACTGGGCTCCTTTCGAACGCTGCACTCATGAGTGTCCTTTGCTTCAAGCTGGAGGCCGTTGACTGCAAACCGCGCACCGTCCTCTGACTGCAGTATCCGTCACTGAGGCAAGGGCGAACATGAGGTTACGGTGTTCGTGAACCCAACCCCCGGGCGCCTTGGCATTTCTGTTTCTGGATTTGGTTCTCCAATCTATCTACGTCTTAATTGCTTTTGGGGTCACAATCGTTCAAGGAAACAGGGTTCCCTTTGGCTCACCTTGGACATACTCGGGTGGAAGGACTTGGTTGCGGAATGCATGGTTTTAGATTTTCCACGTTTTGCAACACCAGAGGAAGCAAGTGATTATGGTTGAAACTCTCGGAGTTCATGGACTTGAGTCCCTTTTTTGGGACGACCGCTTTAGGCAGGTGGCAGGCGAAGCCCCTCGACATGAGACAATGGCAGGTGAAGTAACTCCCGAGAAGTTGGCATGAGAATTGAAGTAGCTCCCTCCCGAAAAGTTGGCAGGCGAAGTTGGCACGCGAAGTAACGTTCCAACAGTTGGCAGTTGAAGTAACAGGCAAAAAGTTGGACTAGAGGTTGGCAGGTGAAGTAACTCTCGAAAAGTTGGCAAGCAAATTTTGCACTTGAAGTAACTGGCGAAAAGTTGACATGACAAGCTGACAGGCGAGGTACATCTCGCGAAAATTTGGCAGGCAAAGTTGGTAGGTGAAGTAACTCTCGAAAAGTTGGCATGGGAAGTTAACATTTATATGTCCGTGTTTTCCCGTCGTGCGCAAAAATATGACACCGCCCAGCTTCCACCCGAAAAAGCGTCATTGACAAAACTGCCTCCCCTGCCAGCCCCGAAAATTGGGGGTCCCCAAACTAAGAGGGGCCCGCAGTAGCTAGCAGAATTACCCACCAATTGTAAATGTGTGGCAAAGCTTGGAAAGTGTAAATGGATGGAAAGTACTTTTGAGCGAGCTGGGTTTGTCTCTCGAGGGCATTCTTCTTGAAGTAACTCCAAAAGTTGGCATGAGAACTTCATGAGAAGTTGGCAGGGGAAGTAACTCTCGAAAAGTTGGCATGAGAAGGTGGCAGCTGAAATTTGCAGCCGCTCTTGGAAGAAGAACCCATCGTGCTTCCGGGAAACAAAACCACGAAAAAGCAGGGCCCGCCGGCGTAAGGCCTCTGCAGAAACTGGTGTCAATTCAATTGCCAATCAGGTTGGAGTGTCGGCGAAAGCAAAGCCAGCTCGTGTCAGGCCCTCTTGCTCATCAAAAAACGCACACCAACTCCTTCCACAGGCAAACCAAATCATGTTCTCAACTAGCTGAGCGGGCTGCTCCGAGAGCTACTTTACCTGCCAGCTTCTCATGCCATTTTTTCGGCAGTTACTTCATCTGCCAGCGTATGCTAAGTTTTCGATGATTACGTCGCCTGCCAACTTCTCATCCCAACTTTTCGAGAAATACTTACACCTGCCACCTTCCAGTGCCAACTTTTCGAGACCTACTTCACTTGCCAACTTCTCATGCCAACTTTTAGAGACCTACTTCACCTCCCAACTTCTCGCGCCAACTTTTGGAGATTCATTTCACCTGCCAACCTCTCGTGCCAACTTCTCGAGAATGTCTTCACTTGCCAACTTCTCATGCCAACTTCTCATGCCAACTTGTACGCCATACTTCACTTGCCAACTTCTCAGGCCCAACTTTTAGAGAGTTACTTCGCCTGCCAGCTCCGCATGCCAGCTTTTTGGGTGCCACTTCTCCTTGCCAAAGCACAAAGTGAGTGAGTGAGTGAGTGAGTGAGTGAGTGAGTGAGTGAGTGAGTGAGTGAGTGAGTGAGTGAGTGAGTGAGTGAGTGAGTGAGTGAGTGAGTGAGTGAGTGAGTGAGTGAGTGAGTGAGTGAGTGAGTGAGTGAGTGAGTAGAGTGAGTGAGTGAGTGAGTGAGTGAGTGAGTGAGTGAGTGAGTGAGTGAGTGAGTGAGTGAGTGAGTGAGTGAGTGAGTGAGTGAGTGAGTGAGTGAGTGAGTGAGTGAGTGAGTGAGTGAGTGAGTGAATGAGTGAGTGGAGTGATGGAGTGATTGAGTGAGTGAGTGAGTGAGTGAGTGAGTGAGTGAGTGAGTGAGTGAGTGGAGTGAGTGAGTGAGTGAGTGAGTGAGTGGAGTGAGTGAGTGAGTGAGTGGAGTGAGTGAGTGAGTGAGTGAGTGAGTGAGTGAGTGAGTGAGTGAGTGAGTGAGTGAGTGAGTGAGTGAGTGAGTGAGTGAGTGAGTGAGTGAGTGAGTGAGTGAGTGAGTGAGTGAGTGAGTGAGTGAGTGAGTGAGTGTGTGAGTGAGTGAGTGAGTGTGTGAGTGAGTGTGTGAGTGAGTGAGTGAGTGAGTGAGTGAGTGAGTGAGTGAGTGAGTGAGTGAGTGAGTGAGTGAGTGAGTGAGTGAGTGAGTGAGTGAGTGAGTGAGTGAGTGAGTGAGTGAGTGAGTGAGTGTGTGAGTGTGTGAGTGAGTGAGTGAGTGAGTGAGTGAGTGAGTGAGTGAGTGAGTGAGTGAGTGAGTGAGTGAGTGTGTGTGTGAGTGTGTGAGTGAGTGAGTGAGTGAGTGAGTGAGTGAGTGAGTGAGTGAGTGAGTGAGTGAGTGAGTGAGTGAGTGAGTGAGTGAGTGAGTGAGTGAGTGAGTGAGTGAGTGAGTGAGTGAGTGAGTGAGTGAGTGAGTGTGAGTGGGTGTGGGTGGGTGTGGGTGGGTGTGGGTGGGCGGGCGGGTGGGTGGGTGGGTGGGTGGGTGGGTGGGTGGGTGAGTGGGCGAGTGAGTGAGTGAGTGAGTGGAGTGGAGTGGAGTGGAGTGGAGTGGAGTGGAGTGGAGTGGAGTGGAGTGGAGTGGAGTGGAGTGGAGTGGAGCGGAGTGGAGTGGAGTGGAGCGGAGTCGAGTGGAGTGGAGTGGAGTGGAGTGGAGTGGAGTGGAGTGGAGTGGGTGCAGAGGAGTGGAGTGGAGTGGAGTGGAGTGGAGTGGAGTGAGTGGAGTGGAGTGGAGTGGCGTGGCGTGGCGTGGAGCGGAGCGGAGCGGAGCGAGGTGAGGTGAGGTGAGAGTGAGTGAGTGCGCGCGTGCGTGCGTGCGTGAGTGAGTGAGTGAATGAGTGAGTGGTGAGCGAGCGAGCAAGCGAGCCAGCGAGAGAGGGAGGAAGGGAGTGAGTGATGTGTGAGTGCGTGAGTTTGTGCGTGTGTGGGTGTGTCAGTGAGTGAGTGAGTGAGTGAGTGAGTGAGTGAGTGAGTGAGTGAGTGAGTGAGTGAGTGAGTGAGTGAGTGAGTGAGTGAGTGAGTGAGTGATTGAGTTAGTGAGTGAGTGAGTGAGTGAGTGAGTGAGTGAGTGAGAGTGAGTGTGAGTGAGTGAGTGAGTGAGTGGGTGGGTGAGTAAGTGAGCGAGTGAGCGAGCGAGTGAGTGAGTGAGTGAGAGAGTGAGTGAGTGAGAGTGAGTGAGTGAGTGAGAGTGAGTGAGTGAGTGAGAGTGAGTGAGTGAGTGCGTGCGTGCGTGCGTGCGTGCGGGAGCGAGTGAGCGAGTGATCGAGTGAGCGAGTGAGCGAGTGAGCGACTGAGCGATTGAGTGCGTGAGTGCGTGAGTACGTGAGTGCGTGAGTGCGTGAGTGCGTGCGTGATTGCGCGAGTGCGTGCGTGCGTGAGTGCGTGCGTGCGTGAGCGAGCGAGCGAGCGAGTGAGTGCATGCGTGAGTGAGTGAGGGAAGGAGGGAGGGGGCGAGTGATGAGTGAGTGCGTGAGTGCGTGAGTGCGTGAGTGCGTGAGTGAGTGAGGGAGGGAGGGAGGGAGGGAGTGAGTGCGTGCGTGCGTGCGTGCGGGCGGGAGTGCGTGAGTGCGTAAGTGAGTGAGGGAGTGAGTGAGTGGGTAGGTGGGTGGGTGGGTGGGTGAGTGGGTGAGTGAGAGGAGGAAGGAGGCGGAAGGAGGTGGGCGGAGGCGGAAGGAGAAGGACGCAGCAGACGCGGCTGGACGACGAGCGGTAAAAGTAAGAACGCCACTGACAAAGATGTGAGAAAAAACAGTGTTTCCACGTAGCGCAGAACATTTCTATGTTCCAGCGTTTCTTGTTTGGGACATAAGGATTTGCGGGTGACCACGATATCTACTTATCAGCAATT